TTGGGGTCCAAATGACAGTGAGCACGTTTGGCTGGATACACTTGCTGACATGGCAAGGTAGTGACCTCAGTGGCGTTCACGCTGTGAGTTTCTTTGTCCTTTCCACCCAACTTAGCCTCCCCCTCCAACCACGATCTCATTTCGTAGCATAATATAATTTTACATAATCGTTTTTCTTTTTGCCTAGTAGCCGGCTGGTAGGTTACCGGAACGATACCCATCCGTTGCTGGTAGCTCAGCTGGCATGTAACTGTTGAATATTTTTTTCTTTTTTCTTTTATGTATTGCGGCACAGTAGCTGAGGTGTTTTTACACCTCTAGCTAACGTATATAATAATGGGGAATGACTGTCAACATGCACATCAAGTGCAGCCACCAAGGGGATGCCAAGCAACAGCCATTCACGTAAAATGAAATGCCGAATAAAAAATGGATCGATTACACCGCACGGATATGTCACTAAATTAGTATATGAAATAAATAGCTTATCAAAATTGCGGTGATAGATTCAGGGTGGCGGAAAAAACGGGATCAAGACACAAAAGTAAAAAGGAGAAAAGTAAATGAAGTTACCCAACTTTAGTTTAAGAGAAATGTGCATTTATATAGATTACTCAGGTGAACACTAAAATGAGATAACAAAATTACGCCAAGACAAGGTAGCAAAGCACCTGGAATAAAGAAATTCATCACGCAAGTACGCGCTTAGTAAATCAAATGCAGCGTACCTTCCAACGCAGCACCGGTTCTGCTTACGTTCTCTGCAGGACTCGTCGTCTTTTCGTTGCTGGACCCGAGTGGCCTTCTTCGTGGCTCACTAGACCTGCCTGACTCATGCACTCGCGACCGCATGTGCTACAGCACCACGCGCGCGATGTCGATGGAGTACAGCCAATCGGCGCCTGTCGCTTCCGCAATTGTCGCTTCTCCTCTGCGTGCAAGAGAGATTCCTCTTCATGATCACATCGGGCCATGCACGCCGATCAACCGCTTTCCATTCCCATGACTTGCAACCAACATTAGAACTTGATAGCCTCACTTTGATCATGTCCTGGTAACGAAGCTGCGGTTTTCCCACGTGCCGTTTCCCTGCACTCAGTTCGCCATAAAGCAGTTTTTTCGGTATCCGGGTGGAGTCCATGCGGCGAATATGCCCGAGCCACCTCAGGTACCTCAGCAGAAGTATGCGCTCCACTGCATACATGCCAGTGCGTCGCAGCACCTCGTGTCTGAAGCTCGGTCACTCCAACCGATGCGCATAATACGGCGCAGACACTGCTAATGGAAACGCTCCAGATAGCGGACATCCCTCCAATAAAGCGTTCAGGTTTCGCTGCCGTACAGGAGAACGGACAGCACCATAGACTTATATGCCAATAGCTTCGTCCCGGCAGTGAGCTGGTGTTTGTTCTACACACGGCATTACAGCTTACCAAAAGCACCAGCCGCCTGCGCTAATCAGATGCGCAGCTCGCTCGTCAACTGCTGGTCGCTGGTTATTACGCTACCAAGGTAGCGAAATCTCAAGTGGTTTCTAACACTTCCTCGGCAATCTGGATTTGGGGCAGGCCCACGGTCTCCATTCCCATCGAAGGCTGGAAAAAGCAAACAGTCTAGCCTGTGTTGATTGTGAGTTTGAATTTGACCGTTGTCGAAGCCAGATCACTAATTATGTGATGAAACGCATCCGCGCTATGCGCAACCAACGCACGGTCGTCAGCAAACAGCAACATACGGATAGTTGTCTCACAAACGAAGGTCCTCGCACCGAAACGACCGAGGTTCAGTAATCCTCCATCAGTACAGCGCTCCACACGAACACCGTAAGCACAAGCGACATCAAAAGCACAAGACATCATGGCATGAAGAGATATGATAAAGAAAACAGGAGCTAAGACACAGCCTTGCTTCATACCAGAGACAACTGCAAAGTCATCCGAGGTCTCTCCACTCAGCTGCAATTTCGCCTACATACCACTGTGCAGACATTCAATTAGACTTACAAATTTACACCGGCAACCAAACTTACGCAACACCAGCCGCAATGCCACGCGGTTCATTGTAGCAAATGCCATAGTGAAACCAATAAAAATCGAGTACGGCGGCTGGTGTCACTCTCTACACTTTTCCTGCAACGGTCGAGTCACAAACATTATATCGATGATGCTGCAGCCAGAGCGGAATCCATATTGCTCTTCCGCCACGTTAGGTTCCACAACCTGAATGACGAGGCGGTTGAGCAGGATTCGGGCAATCACCTTGCCCACACAACTCAGCAAGTTGATGCCACGATAATTCGTGCAACCTTGCTTGCTCCATTTGCCCTTGTACAGTGGTAGCACAGGGGCATCCTTCTGCTCAGGAGGAACCTTCTCGTCAATAAAAATGCATTGCACCAAGTGGTGCAGCGCATACATGTACCATGTACAGTGGTGTAGATTCTTACTCAGACTGAAAACTCAAAAAGTGTGCGGGGGACGTTATTGGCGTCTAAGGAAAGATCTCATACCGGTGTATCAAATCTATCTGATGCAGGAAACGGTAAGAAGGAGACTTAGCGTTGACGAAATTCTACCTATACCATTCAACTCCCCCTACTACTCTTCTGTAAGACCACATGTGACGAGAGCAGACAGCCTATCCAAAGCCTGTCCAAATGCTTGGAGCATAGGTCGGATATGAGACCAGACTGCTAAAATTGAATGAATGAATACATTTTGCTGTAGCATAATAGGTAGGTTGTTTCCCACATCCAGCTTGGGCGTATAGCATAAGTGTGAATACTAACACTGTTGTTAATAGGCAAACTAAGTACGTGGTCAAACTTAATGCCTCACTTCACCACCATAATTTGATTGAACCATGCTTTTATTTTGTACTGATGGTGGACTCTCTAGGGTTGCATGTATGATTGTCTCAACAGCACGGAGATCTAGGCAATTGTGCTTTACTCATCTGCTCAGTTTGCAAGCAGTCCGCCTTCAGATGTTGACTCAAGTGGCGGATCTGAACGTGACTGAGGTATAATGCGGGCCTTGCTCAGACAACAGCGGTTGTCCAACGGAGGAGGAGCAGCGTGGTGACTACATCTAGTCATCGTCCCCACCGTTTGTCGACTTATAAAGGCACACTACTTGAAAAGTATCGGGGGCACCGTCGAGGATTTTGAGTAAATGCACCTGACCTGGTGAGTGCATTTGGTTAATTATGTATACTGTGGTACACCGCCTTAGGTTGATACGTGTGAACAAACATCCAAGGAATATAAGTGGGTTTCAGATGCAATTTGCCCTGCCTAATAGCCAACCCTTTTCGACGTATACGTCATTGGTGCGTTGTTTTGCACAATTTGCACACAAGAAGCCGACGTCCATATGGTGTGCTTCAATGATGCTAGGTCGCCGATCAGCTGCCGTAACAGAAGTAGAAGGATGAGTGCACCAGTTGGTCTTCTGGATACTGCCATCTAAAACGGCTATATCTGTTTGCACATGATGAAAATGTAATGCAGCGCACTCGATACGGTAGCTGTTAACTTAAACATTGGAACACCAATTAGAGTGCACTGTTCTGATAAGCTCGCAGCAGACGTTCAATCTCCGAAAAGTGTTACAGGAAAAATCCTATTTTCACTATCAAGTACGCTCTTCGTCAACAGATATGCTATAGTAGACCCACAAGCTGTAGATATATCAAAGGTGAGTGTGAAGACAAATTTCAGCAAATACCTGTCTTTCGTATCATCCCACCACTGTTGATAACAATGTCACAATTAAACACGAGTTCCGGAGAGTTAAAACAAATAAACTATAGAAATTAAGAAGGGTAATCTAGCGCCAAGTTCAAGTGCAACTAAAAGGTTGGTTGAATGCAAAGCACTGATTCAAGCCGGCTTATTGTGACGGCTTTGGTGAACTGGAGGACAGAGTATTCGTATGGTGTATCAGCTTTTAATAAAATGTGTACCTCAATCCGATGACCTGAGGTCAATAAGCACCTGCCCATCGACGATGCTGGCGACTTTCATGAAGTGGGCTTGCTTGCTATGCATTCGTATTGGGCTGACGCCAGCACGTGATACTTCACTCAGGTTCATGAGTTCCATCATAACCCTTTCCCCTTGATAAGGAATATACATTACTTTATTCATCTTTTACTTATTTAATGACATACCCACTACTCCCGTATCTGCAGGTTTGTGTTGCATGTAGGGCGAACGTGTATGTTAAGGTCTTCCGCGATTATCCACGGACGCAACCACAGAGAAATTTGGAAGCAGATACGACCAACTACCGCCACACAAATTAATGAACATGACCTGTCTAGCTGATCAGCATATGGACTCCAATTGAAGGTTTTAACGTTTACTCATAAGCAGTTCGCTTTGCTCCCACTCTAACAAGATAGAATCCGGGTCAACATGGAAATTGTACGCTGTATGCTAGGCGGTAGCGCGTTCGCTAAGATGGTTGATATTCGGCATATGCTGCGCTTGAACAACTCGAACATGGTGGTCAGACGTCAACAGAACACTTAATGAATAAACGGTAAATTTAACTTTTTCACTTTAATGCATTATTCGTTCATATCCTCATTGTCTGATTTGTTTCTGTAGTTGACGGTGGATACCGGACAATTACGCCAACGGGTACATTGCTTTTCTTGTCGTTTCGTGCATTCCCTGTGTACGCACCCCTTCAAGAGAACAACAACACAAGACTAGCAGACGGATTGTGTGGTGATCTTGGTGCTGGTCTCCGCTGCTAACGTCATTAGGTGTGGAACGTCAATAAGAACAAGGTCAAAGCAAGCTTTTCAAACAATTGTGATAAAGGGACTAGCGCGAATGTATAAAGGATGATTCAAGGGTTGTGGTTCACACACTTAGTTAGGAGGCTCGGAAGAATGGTCTAGTTGTCTACCAGAGGTCGCGCAATAAGTGATCAACAGCTATGCGGCAGAAGACGAGCTACTTGGGATGATGACGCAATCCAACTCACTTGACAACACTACAGTATTGTTCCACCGGCACCTCATGTTCGTATCCAACCACTGAAGCTGATGAGGGTCCCGCGGCGGCCAAATGAAGTGGAGTACACCCTGAGTGATCCCGATGAGCCTCGTCCAAACCGCGAGCCAACAACTCTTGCACGATTAATGGATTGCCAGTGGCCGAGGCCAGACTGAGCAAGGATCTACCACCGGGGTCCATAACGTCCACAGTAGCACCCCAAAAGAGCAGAAGCCGAACCACATCAATGTGTCCACCCAATACAGCCAGTGAAAGTGCAGTGTTGCCGCATCTAATGAGGTAAGAAAAAGTAGCCGAGATCAAAACAATGTCTAATGGTCTATCACCACACTGCGCAACCATGAATTCAGCAGAGAAATAGGTCAGTAAAGCTACACATGAGTATGAGCAAACAGAAAGTTTCTAAAGATTAGCTAATTGTGTCAAGCCAGTATGCATGCATCCCCGGTCCAACTGTGCTCTTTGGATTAGTCCGGAGCAAAAAGGCTGCGTGCCCAGGTTAATCGGCACATCAGCAGTCGTTTCAGTTTCACTTCAGCCCAGGGACTCCAAGTTGTTGAGCTTACTTCGCCTTGACTCCCGTCGTCATAATAACAATGAGCAAAAATAAAGATGACGAAAAGTTAGTGACAGAAGGAGTACAAATGGCCAATAGCAACGCTTAAAAATGGAATCTATATAGGACGCCCATAGCAGCCGCTGACATTACCATGAACCAAGTCGGAGGAGTTTCTGATTGTAGTTTGCTAATGTCTACACAACAGTCGAGAAAAACAAGGCGTATCGATCCAAGTTGATTTTGCATACAGTACTTTTGTGCTTAGGGACTCACAAAGACAATTACGAAATCGAATACATAGGTCAAGGCGGATCGTTAACCGTTAGCTGCAGGTGAAGAGGACGATGTACCTGGGTGGCACACATCCGATTTTTCCACGATACATGCCTAACGGGAATTAAGCATAGATGGTCCACAAATGGTTCCAACAAATGGTTCGGCGGAAATGTTCTAGGACGTGGTTTCGGTGTCGGTGTGTCCGACAGACTCACCTTCATCTCGTACTGTTTCAGGCCGTCCAACGTAGGCCTGTGAATCTCGGAACGGTTGTTCAAGAGACAGTCAGAGTTTTCCAGAGCTGCATTATATCTGCAGTCTGTGTGCAGGCAGCGCCTGAACTACCATAGATTAACATCCTCAACGGTTTCAACATCCGTCCATACATCGCCTTCAAGGAGTCAACGGCTCCCCTATTTTAGCGGCGTTCGGCGTAGCATTCCTATTGCTTCGACTGTTCCGTCCGCCACGCTACGTAGCTGTGGTCAGTTGGCGTCGAATGTTGCGAGACTGACTCTTCTTCCCCAAGTCACCAGTATATATATATATATATATATATATATATATATATATATATATATATATATATATATATATATATATATATATAAACTGAGGCAAGCATTTAGAAAACATTCAGGAGCTGAGTAGTGGGCTACCACACAGTGAATGATCTTATAGCACTATCCGACTTGTTAACCGTAAAGAAATGATATGCAGTACACTATAATGTTGAGTTAACTGTGGAAAAGTATCGAGAGTGTAAATGAACCATGGTTCAGAAGAACTTCCTTGACATAGTACGGTACGTTTCGTGCTTTTAGTAAGCTTCGATAGAAAGTTTTCAATTATGCTTTATTATAAGTCTGACTGTGCAAATTAGCTAATCGCGTGGGAAGTTGACCTAAATGCCGATTTGGTGTGTGTACGTTAATTAAGAGCAAAGTTAAAACATACATTTCGCAGGCCCATGTACATAAGTTTAAAACAAAGTTCACTCTTACACTACACAGTTATAGCCGGGGCGGTTTAAATGCAGTAAAAAGAAGCCTACCTTCGATCGTTGAATGAGATCCAGTGCTTAGAAACAAGACCACCGATTGCGCACAATGCGAAGGACATTTTACTGCTTATGTTAATGCTACAGTCTAACAAATAGACCTTGAAATCCCGCCAATTACGGTAACCGTAAACTGGTTCAATAACTATCAAAAATGATGAGCCCGGTTCGAATACCAAAACACTGCAGTTTCAATCCAAATGAGCACGCATCAGGAAATAAGTAAATAACAAAACTAAAGTGCAATTAACCACTGCTTTCTCCTTAGTTGTACTCCCCGCGTAGCTAGGACTAGAATTTTAGTCATTGAGATTACTAGCTAAAGTCGTCACCGTCACAGCACAGAACTGTGCGTGTAACGAGCGTTACAACCAACTGTCGAAGGAGCAGCTACATGCCTATGAGCATTCTATCAATCAATAGAGAGGGGATCAGCATTTAATGTCAGTAGTTCAACTCAAAAGGATTAGTTGCTGACCTTACAAATGTTGTCTCCAGTTCCCACTTGACGCTCGCACCCTCAAATATGCTTCCGATATTCGAAACACTGTTCTGTATGAATATTAAATGCCAACAGCCTCTTCAACAAGTTATATGAACTTCAAACACGTCAAGCCTTGATGTTTATGGGTCTGATAGCGATAACTAAGACTTCGCTGCACAAAGAAATCACTGATGCCGAGATAGCTTTTCCGGGTATGCCCGTCCTACGTAGAGATCAATGTAGTAGGAGAGGTGGTGTGCCTCTTACCATCGTAGTGATCGAAATTCTCAAGTCGTTCCTAACCTATAGAATTAAATTGTTAATTCACTGATGCCCCCGTAATGAATAAGTGGAGAGACAAGTTTAAATACAAAACTGGTATAATTCTCGACGGTGCAAGCCAGATAAACAACGTTGCCTAATCATTATGTACATAATCGGATGATAGGGAAGGATTTTGTGTTTCACAAAGTACGTCCCAGAGATTTTGCGGTGTTCAATTATATAAAAGTAATAAAAATACGACAAGGATAGCGTAAAAATAAATGTAAACATAACAAGTTCAACTAAACTAACACGACTATCCTTTGAACCGTCTCCTGGGGACCTACTTTCATACGGGGTAGTCTCCTGAGAGTTTCTATCCATACTTCCCCTCCTCATTCGGCTATGTGGTTCGTGGGCCGTCATTATGTGGACACGTATTTTTAGCCGGTTATAATCAATAGGCCGTCATCATACTCTCATTTTGTACATCCGCTGTAATGAGCAATAGGCCATCAACGAGATTAGTTTCTTAAGTCCAACACCTATCTTTCTCCTCAGTGGGCCTGTGTTAATTCGCGTTGCGTCGGTGTAAGTACTTAGCTTGGAATCTTTAATCCATCCCATTAGGAGTTCGGCCCTCGCATAGCGTCCTCTGAAGTCCACTCTAGTAATGGACAGCCGTATAGCTTCGACTCCAAAAAAACGTTCCGCCTCAACCTAATGATAACGCTTTCTTTTCGGAGGACTTCAACTCGCATGCCCTAAAAGTTCCGGTCAAGCTTGGTGAACCGAACTGCAAGAAATAGTCGCCAGCCTAGCACTTCAAAATCAGGTCACTTCTTCTACTACGTTCATAACGAGGAACCTCGTGTTTACCAATGAGGAATTTATGATAGACGCAGTAACAGTGAGTAGCCCCTTGGGACGCAGAGATAATGCAACACTGCCTTTCCACTACGTTTGTTACGCAGAACAGTCCAAGGAAGATGGCATTTTACAGGAACTCATCAAAATTACTGATTGGTAGTTTCTCGCAGGAAAACTCCGGCTAACGCTTGGGGGAAGGAGAATTCCTCAAGCAGTTTAGCACTTTAGTAACAAACACAATAAAGGCTAACTTTCGTATCTCAAGAAAAGTACAATTATTGATGATGGAATTGGACCTAAAAGCGAAGGACCTTGAGGGAGTCGTTTTGACAAACATACAAAGCCACTTTAGACTGTGAGCACTGCAAAGCTTACATAGCCAAGCAAAACCATTGCGTCAGACTGGTCTAAGAAGACACAATGCATTACCAACTGCATTTGGCGATAATGTTTTGTCCCAATCCTAAACTATTTTACAGACATGTCAATGAATTGCGCGAAGTACCTCTGCTAAACACCGTTGGCGCGTAGAGGCAAACTCCACGGGAAGCAGCTAACGATCTTCTATATGAAATCGCTCGTATTTTCCAGAGTACAACGATATCACATACCATTCACCCACAGATCACGTCACCACAAAGAATTAGCCGTAACGAATTCACCGCGGCGGATGTTCTGAAGTAACCGATGTCACTACGTAAGCACAGTTCATCTGGTCTGGACAACATATACATCTATTCATTGAAGTTAACTGCCACGAGCTTAGCGCACCGTTAGCTTAAGTTTTCCAGTGCATTCTCAAAGAGATGCAGGTTCCAACTGTGTGAATGCATGGAATAGTCACCCCGTTTACAAGGCAGACAATCGCGATGTGTCCACAAAATACCGCCTGATTACCCTTTTTCCGGTGTTTGCTAAACTTGTGGGAATTATCATTGTCAAAGCACCTACGGTGAGCAGCCTAAACGAATAGAGAGTTTCGTCTACCTTAACAGCTGTTTTTGCTGGCGGCGCTATCAGCAAGGAAAATTCTATTCGCATCGCTAAGATCCGAACAGCATTTAGCAAGCTGAAACACGCTGTCACCGAAACGTCCCCATCTCGACAAAAGGGTGGCGTTAAGAATACCTCTGCTCGTTCAGTATAGTTACTTGCTTTACTTTACTGCGGCTAGCTCCTACGACAGGATAAACCGGCTTCATGAATGTCGCGGATTGCAGCTGGCCAAGCGCGGCGGTCAGCGGCAAGCTCCAGGCAGATACTGATCCAATGATTCCTCTAGCTACGAGCACCATGCACAACATGGAGTTCCAGAAGATCGACATCCAATTTCACTGCAGCGAGCAACGTTTTCAATTGTTCACCATGGCGACGACACATACCCTAGCAATGCGAGGGTCATACCACAGCCGTATTGAAGTCAGTGTCTGGTCTACGCAGAACGTAACCAAACCACCGAAGTCTGAGGCGTTAGATGAGCGTTGAGAGCTTCGAAAGACCGTAACGGCGCTTACGGATTTCGTCACTGGTGGTACGCTCATGCCATTGTGTATGCAAGATAAGTACTAGACACCAATGCTCGAACAATTCCAGCTTCCGGATATCTTCGGAGCGCAGCGGCCGTTTCGCAAACATAGAGTAAAATGGGACGAATGGTTGCTGAGAATACTCGAACGAACGAGTCCTAGACAATTCACGCTGAGGAAATGCGCCGTCTATCCACCGTCCACAGCGATTGCTTGAGAGGGATCGCTCGTG